TTTAAGGCGAACTTTAATCGATTTATTTTATCACTGACGTGCTCTTACTTCTACCCGCTTCCCATATAATTGTACTGGTCCGACGAGAATTTATTGCAAGCTACGTATGCTCGCCACCTCGTCCTCTAATTCTCCCTCAGTTTAGAATGGAGCAGAATTACACGGCATTTACTGCACACACCTCGTCCTACGATGGCGACAATGAAAGGATCACCGATGATGAGCTCGAGCATAGTGGGTGACAAAGCCGGACACATCTACGCATGCCACACACAGGACCTGGTCCCCACAACGTATGCCAGACTCTCATAAGACCGCACAGATCTCACACGTCTGAAAGTACCACAGAGGGCGTCATTGGGATCGTGATGAGAACGTGATGAGAACTTCAAGCGTGTCAAATTTATTATGGTGAGGCATGCGTTGATATATAGTGTGACGAAATTTCCAGTGTTGACCTTACTCTCTGCCCCCTCCTACACGCTCTAGTTGACTGTCCGAACCTGTTAACAAGTATGTGACTGCATTGAGGCGGCATTGAAGCCTACGCCTAAGTGTGGCGTCAGACGAACTTGCTACGGCGGTTATAGGCTTAGGCTGGCTCCGCGGTGCTCAGTAAACGCTGGCGGTTAGTCACTATAATCCACGGATTGGTCCAGCCCATCTACAGAAAGTGGGCTAAATCATAAAATCTCAACAGAAATTCCAAAATGCGTTTCAGTTTCGAAAAGAATAATTAAGTAGGCTTGTAAAACCAATCATCATGCAGCATAAGTCTATAATAATTCAGTTACCCCAGGTCACCGGCTTTCGAAAAAACTTATTTTTTTCTGCATCCAAAAAAACATACGCCGCAAAAACGGACGACATATGTAGCATGCATTTTTTTCATTGATTTTCGGTGCTCTTAAATATTTAACTACATTTCATGGAAAACGTGCATAAAAATATTCATTCTTTTGCTCATTCAGTAGAAAATTACGTCGTCTTTTAATTTTACACTCGAATGAAGGGTGTAATTTGGTTTTATAAAACTTTTTCAATTCCCGAGTAATTTTGAACCCGATCTGCCGTTACACTTGCATCCAGGGCTCCCGAACTACAAGCCGTATAATTTCCGCGTACGGAAAAACATACATTTCTCTAAGGTAATAAAGGGAGACTATATAGGATTCATAAAATTAAGCAGTGGATTTCAGCCACATTGTTAACTTTACAAGCCACATTGGTAGATGCAGAGACATGACGTTTTATGAAGGGCCATTTCACGGTATTACAAAATCTCACAATTGGAAACTTTTCTAATACCGAATTATACCCTTCATTCAAGTACAAAATTGAAAAAGACGTAATTTTTAACTGGATGAGCAAAAGAAGGAATATTTTATGCATGTTTTCCATGACATCGAAAATCAAGGACATCGAAAATCAATGAAAAAATGCATGCTAATTATGTAGTCTTTTTTTACGGAGTATGGTTTTTGGATGCAGCCGGAAAGAAGTTCTTTCTGAAACCGGCATCCCGAGGTAACTGCAATATTATAGAATTATGTTGCAAGCTGACTAGTTTTACAACCCTACCTGATTAATCTTTTCGAAATGGAAACTCATTTCGGAATACCGGTTGACATTTTACGAGGTAGCCCACCTACTGTACATCGCAACCCGTCTTGGTGGCTATTGAGGGGATAGCAACACACGTTTAAAAACAATTTTTTTCCGGATAACTTATCCTAGGGTACCAGAGACGCTCTGAATAGAAAGCTGGCAGGTGTGTATCTAAATTTGAAGGTGCCACTCGTGGCTTTACGGGCGCCGGCCCCGCAGTTGTCCTTGCAGGAATGTAAACCCATTGAATCGGCCTCTTCTGAAAAACCAGTCGACGGAGACCGACGCCAATCAACTGAAGACATCTTCTGAGAGCAGTTCATCGAAAGCGAACCCTGCGCTGGCTTTATTTTAAAAAGGTATGGCCCCGTTTAGTAAAGGTTTCCTGATATATCTATCCGCCACTGGGAAGATCTACTTTATTAGGGTGGGAGAACTGATAACGCCTAATGGTAGATTTATATATAATGAAAAGGACGTTCTCCAGGATCTCCATTCCACTTCATGGGATGTGTTATTGCTCAACGACTCTTCTTGCGGATACGAGTGGTCAGTAATACATACCCGGAAGTTATGTGTTCAACCGGGGGCCTACGTGGATGATTTTACACAGGAGACTAGCTACTTTCCGCCGAGGTGTACTTCGC